AAATCCTGATGAAGGATCTAGAGATTTTAAGAGAGGTGTTCTCTTGGGTTAAAATAATAGTACTTTTTTATAAATGGTTTTCCACTTTCATGATTTTTCCACTTTCCACCCTAGCTAATGTGGAGGGATGGCTGTATTAAACCCACAACCATTGCAACAACTACCCTGTTGCAATGGTTTTTAAGTGCTAAAATTCACCTTCCTGAATAGTGAACTAGTGCAAGGTGATTTAAAGACCAGATATATGTATATATAGCATCTTTTGCAGATCCTAAGGGAAGCCTTAGCAGCCTCTTCCTTGCTCAACACTAGGATCTATCATGCTGGGAGGCATAAGAACAGACATGGGCAAACTTGGGCCCACTTAAGTGGTTGAGGGTGGGGAAAGAAAGGGCCTGAGGCTGTTAGGAATTGTGGGAGTTGAAGTTCAAAACACCTAGAGGGCCAAGGTTTGCCCATGTTTCCTTTTCAGTGGTGGGCCCACAATCACATAATTCCTTTCTCAAAGCACTGATCTCCTTGCCAGCAGTGAACTGGTTAGTTCCTTCCTACATCTCTTCTTGTTGGTATTTAGTTTGAGAGCCGGCTTGTCCTTGTCTTTCCTTTCATGGATGAGGAGGGTGAGACAGAAATAACTAATTACAACTAGCAAAAATTTAAGCCCAAATAATTGCATTTGATTTTTGATTTCTCAAAAGTGACTACGCTTTGCAGAGAACCTGTGCCTGCCTCCAAAAGCACTACCTCTCATCTTTCATTCTTCTCATAATATATACTGTGTCTGTCTCCAGTCTGATGTGTTGGACTACAACTCCCAGAATCCCAGCTGGGCAAGGGAGGCCCACAGTTTTCTGTCAGCGAAGCCACAAAGCCATTCTAGGTCCTAGCCCACACTTTAAAGGAGCTGTCCAAGGTGCTGGCCCTGTTCCCAAAAGAGATTGAGCCCTTTAAAACAGATTTATGTTCCCAGTGTCCAAGAACCTACCAGCCCACACAACCTGGATGCTTGGGAGTTGTAGTCTTAACATTAACACCTCTGAAGATGCTGGGGGAGGGTCACTGCTTTGTGCAACAGATATGTGATGTTTGCCCTTTTGTTGTGTGCCTTCAATTGGTTCCCAATGTTTGTTGATCCCAAAGAGAGACTATCCCAAGGCTCCCTCAGCAAACTTTGTTCAGATGTTTCCTTTGCCTGTAGGCTGAGAGAATGTGACCTGCCCAAATTCCCCCAGGTAAGGCAAGGATCTGAGTCCTAGTCTCCAAAGTTATAGTTGAGGGCTCAAACCAAAACGACATCAACCTTCCTCTCAGTTTTGCCCTTTACCACACTCTCCAAACTGAAAATCGCTGAAGATAGGAGTGAAGCCTGGATGGATGCAGAAGTGATAACACTATGTAACAAAACTTGGACATTTTCTGTTCTGAAAGTGTTATTTCCTGTTTAATTGTGAGATACTTACTTTGAAAGTAATTGTTATACTCCAGAAACTTTTTTTCGTGGGTGCCACAAACTATGTTGAATTATGTTGTCAAAGGCTTTCATGGCCAGAATCACTGGGTTGCTGTGAGTTTTTTGGGCTGTATGGCCATGTTCCAGAAGCATTCTCCCCTGATGTTTTGCCCACATCTATGGCAGGCATCCTCAGAGGTTGTGGGGTCTCTTGGAAACTAGGCAAGTAGGGTTTATATATCTGTGGGATGTCCAGGGTGGGTGAAAGAACTCTTGTCTGCTTGAGGCAAGTGGGAATGTTGCGATTAGCACTGAATGGCCTGTAGCTTCAAAGCCTGGCTGCTTACTGCCTGGAGGCATCCTTTGTTAGGAGGTCTTAGCTGAACCTGATTGATTCTTGTCTGGAATTCCTCTACTTTTGGAGTGTTGCTCTTTATTTACTCTCCTAATTTTAGAGTTTATAAAATTCTAGTAGCCAGGTTTTGTTCATTTTCATGGTTTCCTCCTTTTGCTTGAAATTGTCCACATTTTTGTGGATTTCAGTGGCTTTTCTGTGTAGTCTGATATGGTGGTTCTTGGAGTGGTCCGGCATTTCTGTGTTCTCAAATAATATGTTGTGTCTAAGTTGGTTCATCAGGTGCTCTGCTATGGCTGACTTCTCTGCAGTGCCTTTCATGTTCCTTGATTCATGTTTGGGCAATGCTGCTGTGTTTGGTGGTCCCTATGTAGACTTGTCCACAGCTGCATGGTCTATGGTAGACTCCTGCAGAGGTGAGAGGCTCCCTCTTGTCTTTTGCTGAACATAGCATTTGCTGGATTTTCTTAGTGAGTTTCTAGATTGCTTGTATGTTGTGTTTCCCTATGTGGTCCGTGGTTCCCTTGATGTATGGTAAAAACACTTTGGGTGGGCCTTTGTTTTTACTCTTGTGGCTTGTTCTTGGTCTTGCAGCTCTTTTGATGTCTGTGTTGGAGTCTCCATTGGCTTGCAGAGCCCAGTTTAGGTGGTTCGGTTCAATGCTAAACAAGGTGATCAATTGCAACATCCACACCTGCCTCAAACAGACAAGATTTCTATCTCCCACCCTTGACATTCCACAGATATATAAACCTCACTTATAGTATCAATTCGCCAGGGAAAAGGCTTTTGCGAAAGTGTCAGGTATTTCAAGGGAGTGAAAGATCTCGAGTGAGGCGCGCAGGGAAACGCGCTGAGGAACCAAGAGGGTGTTCTGCCTGCCTGTCTCTCTTTCCCTGAGCGTCTCAGGAAACCTCTGTGTTTCCTCCTCCTTCTCCTTCTTCTCCTCATTGGGGTGACCATCCATCCATGGCTCCATGGCCCTCGTGGGCTCCCCCCGCGCGGCCTGCTTCACCCCTCCGTGTTGCCTTCTTTCCCCGCAAACACGCTTCGGGGGGAAAGCGGCGCCTCTGATTGGGCGGCCGGGACGTCCCAGCGGGCCCTTGGCGGGCATATAATGGACGGCGCGGGCCGAGAGTGACACCCGCCCACGGACAGGGCCCGCGCGGCGCCAAAGCCGCCTCCGGAAGGGAAGGAACGAAGGAAGGAAAGAGCGAGCCTCCTCTGGACCCGCCTCCTCTTCTCCTTCCTCCTCCTCGCCGGGAAAAGACCCCTGAACGCAGCAGCAGCAGAAGGAGAGGGAAAGGAGGAGGAGGAGGAAGGGGCAGATCCCGGCGGGGAAGGGAAGCGCAGACCCTCCCTCCCTCCCTCCACAACAACAACAATAACAACAACAATTCGGATCGTCCAAGAAAGTCGGAGAAGCGCAGCAACGGGAAGCGCAGACCTTCCCTCCCCACAACAACTACAATTCGGATAGTCCAGGAAAGTCGGAGGAGGAGAAGGGACAAGGAAAGAAAGGGAGGAAGACGCGGAGCCCGGATCTCTGGAGGGAGGGACAAGGGGCTTGACGATCTCTGGACAGCAGAGATCCACAGACGAGGCGCTTCCTTCAAGGCGAGAAAGTCTGGAGAAGAGGAGGAGGAGGCGAGAGAGAGTTTGACGATCTCTGGACAGAAGAGATCCACAGAAAAGGCGCTCCCTTGAAGGCGAGAAAGACTGGAGAAGAGGAGGACGCGAGAAAGAGCTTGACGATCCCTGGACAGCAAAGGTCCGCAGAAGAGGCGCTCCCTTGAAGGCGAGAAAGACTGGAGAGAAGGAGGAGGACGCGAGAAAGAGTTTGGCACTCTCTGGGCGCTTCCTTGAAGGAGAGAAAGACTGGAGAAGAGAAAGAGGAGGAGGAGACCAGAGAGAACTTGGCGCTCCCTGGACAGAGAACCATAGAAGAGGCGTTCCCTTGAAGACCAGGAAAACTGGAGAGAAGGAGGAGGACGCGAGAAAGAGTTTGACGATCTCTGGGCGCAGAGAAAGACTGGAGAAGACGAGGAGGAGACCAGAGAGAGCTTGGCGATCCCTGGACAGAGATCCATAGAAGAGGCGTTCCCTCGAAGACCAGAAAAACTGGAGAGAAGGAGGACGCGAGAAAGAGCTTGACGATCTCTGGACAGCAGAGATCCACAGAAGAGACGCTTCCTTGAAGATCAGAAAGACTGGAGAAGAGGAGGAGGAAGCCAGAGAGAGCAACGATCCCTAAACAGATACCCACAGAGGACGAGCATCCCTGAAGGCTAGAAAGACTGGAGAAGAGGAGGAGGAGGCCAGAGAGAGCTTGACGATCTCTGGACAGCAGAGATCCACAAAAGAGGGGCTTCCTTGAAGGCGAGAAAGTCTGGAGAAGAGGAGAAGGAAGCCAAAGAGAGCTTGACGATCCCTAGGCAGATACCCTCAGAGGAGGAGCGTCCTTGAAGGCCAGAAAGACTGGAAGAGGAGGTGAGAAAGAGCTTGACCATCCCTGGACAGCAAAGCTCTACAGAAGACGCTCTTCCTTCAAGTCCAGAAAGACTGGAAGAGGAGGAGGAGGAGGCCAGAGAGAGCTTGTCGATCCCTGGACAGCAGAGCTCCACAAAAGAGGGACTTCCTTTTCCAGAAAGACTGAAGGAGAGGAGGAGAAGGAGGTGACTATCCCTGGAAAGCAAAGCTCTACAGAAGAGGCTCTTCCTTCAAGTCCAGAAAGACTGGAGAAGAGGAGGAGGAGGCCAGAGAGTGCTTGACTATCCCTGGACAGCAGAGCTCCACAAAAAAGGCGCTTCCTCTTCCAGAAAGACTGGAGAAGAGAAGGAGGTGAACAGGAACTGCTGGAGCCGACAGAGCTTTGCTGAGATCTTCCTGGAGCACGTCTGAATTATTATTTTTCCCCCGGCGCACCTCTGATTGCTTTCGCATATGTCGGACTTGTATATCTAATCTGGAGGGAGGGGAAGAGACGGACGTCTACTTTTCTTATGATTTTTTTTAATTGAAGGGCACGTCTAGATTATTTGTTTCCAAGGGCGCGTACCTGCCTCGCTTTCCCTTGCGCTCGTCGGGCGTCTAAACTTTCCCGGACGCACTCCTGCCTGCCTCCCTTCCTGAGCGTTTTGGAGGCCTGATGAGTTTCCCTTGAGTCTCTCCTCCGAAGAGGAGAGACTCAAGAGGAGAGGACCCTGGGCGCCCTTCCTCTCTCCTCCTTCTCCTCGTCCTCCTCCTTCGGGGAGCCTCGGATGAGCGCCTCTCCTTCGGCGTCGGCGATGGCGGAGCTGAAGGCGTTGGGCGGCGAGTCCTACCTGAGTTACCACCCGGCGGCCTTCGCGTACAGCGCGCTGAGGGGCTCCTCCGTCGTGGGAGGGGTCCCACCGGAGGCTCTTCCCTCTCGGCTCTTCCCGCCCTTCCCGGGCCCGACGGCGGAGAGTAGCGGCGAGCAGAGCGGTGAGGAGGAGGAGGACGCGACGGCGGCGGGAGACGGAGGAAGGGGAGGAGGAAGCAGCCCCGGGATGGCCTTCGAGTCCCGCGCCCGAGACGAGTCTCGCCCCTCGGGGGGCTCCAAGAAGCCGAAGGAGCCGCGCTCTTTGCGCCTGAGCATCAACGCGCGGGAGAGGCGGCGGATGCACGACCTGAACGACGCGCTGGACGGGCTGCGCTCGGTCATCCCTTACGCGCACAGCCCGTCGGTGCGCAAGCTCTCCAAGATCGCCACGCTGCTCCTGGCCAAGAACTACATCCTGATGCAGGCCCAGGCGCTGGAGGAGATGCGCCGCCTGGTCGCCTACCTCAACCAGGGGCCCCAGGGGCCCGCCCTGCCCGCCGCCGCCGCCTTCGCCCAGCCCGCCGCCCTCTACCCCTTCGCCCCCGCCGCCCCCGCCGCCCCCATCACCCCCACCGGCGTCCCGCACAAGTGCGCCTTCCCCGCCGCCCCCGGGCTCTGCAAACACTGCAGCCAGAAGCCCTGACCCCGGGGGGAGAGGGCGGAGGACCCTCGGGAAACGCTCCCCACCTCGCCTGGCACCTCTTGCCTTGGCGTCATTGTTTACTTCCTTCTTCACCAGTCATCCACCCGTCGGAGTCATCTATACTTCTGAGGACCCTGGCATCTGCAGAACAGACCCTTCCCTTGCGTCCTCTTCCTTGTTTGTTTACCTCCTTCTCGCACTCCCACCCACCCACTCATTGAGATCCAGCCAGGCATGTAGCGGGGGGGGAGGGGGCTTCAGCCCCACCCCCGAAATTCTCATGGTGGTTCGCGAAAAGGCCTTAATGGTGCATTATTTAAACTGTTATGTTTATTCATATCATGATCTGATCACCATACTTATCCCATATGCATGGGGGTATTGGGGTAACGATACAAAAGGTTTGCTAGGGTAGACCCTCTTTCACTCAGACTCAGCCCCCCCCCCGAAACTCAGCCCCCCCGAAACCCCCCCTGAAAACCAGCTGACCCTTCTCTTGGGCCCTCTTCCTTGTTTGTTTACTTCCTTCTCCTGCACCCACCCACCCACTCATTCAGATCCAGCTGACCCTTCTCTTGGGCCCTCTTCCTTGTTTGTTTACTTCCTTCTCCTGCACCCACCCATTCATTCAGATCCAGCTGACCCTTCTCTTGGGCCCTCTTCCTTGTTAGTTTACTTCCTTCTCCTGCACCCAGCCACCCACTCATTCAGAGCCAACCGACCCTTCTCTTGGGCCCTCTTCCTTGTTTGTTTACTTCCTTCTCCTGCACCCACCCATTCATTCAGATCCAGCTGACCCTTCTCTTGGGCCCTCTTCCTTGTTTGTTTACTTCCTTCTCCTGCACCCACCCACCCACTCATTCAGATCCAGCTGACCCTTCTCTTGGGCCCTCTTCCTTGTTTGTTTACTTCCTTCTCCTGCACCCACCCACCCACTCATTCAGATCCAGCTGACCCTTCTCTTGGGCCCTCTTCCTTGTTTGTTTACTTCCTTCTCCTGCACCCACCCACCCACTCATTCAGATCCAGCTGACCCTTCTCTTGGGCCCTCTTCCTTGTTTGTTTACTTCCTTCTCCTGCACCCACCCATTCATTCAGATCCAGCTGACCCTTCTCTTGGGCCCTCTTCCTTGTTTGTTTACTTCCTGTTCGCACACCCACCTACCCATTCATTCAGAGCCAACTGACCCTTCTCTTGGGCCCTCTTCCTTGTTAGTTTACTTCCTTCTCCTGCACCCAGCCACCCACTCATTCAGATCCAGCTGACCCTTCCCTTGCTTCCTCTTCCTTGTTAGTTTACTTCCTTCTCCTGCACCCACCCACACACTCATTCAGAGCCAACGACCCTTCCTTGCTTCCTCTTCCTTGTTAGTTTACTTCCTTCTCCTGCACCCACCCACACACTCATTCAGAGCCAACGACCCTTCTCTTGGGCCCTCTTCCTTGTTTGTTTACCTCTCAGTCATTCAGATCCATCATACTTCCCTTCTCATTTGCACATCTTTGACCCTCCCCCCTTTTGTACTGACCATTGAATGCTTTTTGAAGCCAACTTCCAACTAGAATTGAGGCTACAAGGACTATACTGATTATATGGTCATTATAGATCAGGTATGGGGAAACTTTGCCTTGCAGAAATTTGGACTCCAACTCCCACCATTCCTAATAGCCTCAGGCCCCTTCCTTTTCTACAAACTACAAGGAAGGAGATTCGATCTGAACATTATGTGAGAGCAGTTCAGCAGTGGAACTCTCTGCCCTGGAGTGTGGTGGAGGCGCCTTCTTTGGAAGCTTGTAAACAGAGGCTGGATGGCCATCTGTCGGGGGTGCTTTGAATGCAATTTTCCTGCTTCTTGGCAGGGGGTTGGACTGGATGATCTCTTCCAACTCTATTATTCTATGATTCTCCCTCAGCCACTTAAGTAGCTGAGGGGGGAAAGGAAGCAGCCTGAGACTGGGTTGTTGTAGGTTTTTCAGGCTATATGACCATGTTCTAGAAGCATTCTCTCCTGACGTTTCGCCTGCATCTTTGGCAGGCATCCTCAGAGGGCCTGAGACTGTTGCGAATGGTGAGAGTTGGAGTCCAAAATACCTGGAAGGACAAAGTTTCCCCATGCCTGGCATAGACTCATACAGTGCAAGGTTGCTGTGAGTTTTTCAGGCTGTATGGCATATTCCAGAAGCATTCTCTCCTGACGTTTCCCTTGTATCTGTGGCAGGCATCCTCTGAGGCTTGTTCAGAGGTCACAAACCTCTGCCACAGATGCAGGCAAAATGTCAGGAGAGAATGCTACTGGAACATAGCCACACAGCCCCAAAAAAACTCACAACAACCCAGTGATTCCAGCCACAAAATCCTTTGACCATACATTGCAGTTTGATGCAATTCAGTAACTTTCAACTGTGGCAGTTGGGCAACTGAAGCTGGATCTATCCTGCCATACTATGGGGGAGGCTCCTTCTTTGGTGGCTTTTAAACACCAAAGAAGGAGGTGCTTTGAATGCAATTTTCCTGTTTCTTGGCAGGGTGTTGGACTGGATAGCCCACAAGGTTTCTTCCAACTCAGTGATTTTATGATTCTATGATATATAGTCTCCTTGTGGAGAGAAAAAAAAGCAGAGTATAAATAAACATAATGATCTTTTAAATAATAATAATAAACTCAAATATAATAAATAATAATAAAATAATATAATATATAATAATAATAATAGTTGGGTGCAGTGCCGAAAACCCTTGGCCTGCACTTAAAAACAATTGGCACTGACAAAATTACCACCTGTCAGCTACATTTTAATTTTACAAAAGACCCTACTGGGATCTGCACGAATTATTTGCTTATCCATCACACAGTCCTAGACACTTGGAAAGTGTCCGATGTGTGATCCAATACAAAAGCCATCATAGTCACCTTGTTAGCTGTGTACTAATCTTGTTATATATCGAATAATAATAATAATAATAATAATAATAATAATAATAATAATAATAGTGTCATTTTTGACCCATAGAATGCAAATTGCATTCAAACTGCATCTCATGGTGGTGTAGATCCAGCCAACTTCCCCAAAAGCATGCAAAAGAAAGCCATTCATGAGGTGTTGTGTGGTTTCCAGGTTGTATGGCTTTGGCCCAGCAGCATTTTTTCCTGATATTTCACCTACATCTGAAGCAGGCAAAACATTGGCCATCCAGCCTGGAAACCACACAATACTCCAGTGACCCTGACTGTAAAAGCCTTCGACAATACTTAATGTGCACCTGTGGTTTGGGTCAACACCATCCAGGCCTCAAACGGGTCCCAGGACTTCCTGTGTAAAATCATCTGCTTCAATACCAACTTGAAATTGCATTAAATGGTCAGTATCAACGGGGCCTAAGCTTCATGACACTTCTGTATTCCCCATCCCTTTCTTTATCCCCCTCCTTTTCTATTTATTTATTTGTTTATTTATTTAAATGACCCAAATATAGTAGACTCTTAGTTAACCAGCACTCAAGCTACTAGAACTCTCAAGCAACCAGATGAAAATTGAAGGAATAATACTTTATTTTTTTAAAGCTGTTTTTTTTATCATACGGCACAATTGTGTTACACTACATTGACTTGATTTCTCTCAAATTGCTTTCCACCTCTGTATTTCACTAATAATATCAGGTCAAAACAGTGTTTATGTATACTATGGAGTATAATATTGGGCATATTTTAATGGTAACTCTCAAGCAACCAGAAACTATGTTTGTCTACCAATCCCTCTAAATTCTGGTTAACTGAGAGTCTGCTGTAATATGGGTTTTCACGCTCTTCATTGCCTCCTCTTCCCTCCCTGCTGTGTCACGGATGCATTTGGAAGGTCACTTAGGTTTCTTTGGGTTTTTGTTTTGAAGCTTTTTTTTCAATTCCATATAAATAGAAAGAGGAGTTCATTGGAAAGTAATTGGGCTGAAAGTCCCTTTAGGAAGAAGGTGACTTGAGCACAAACTATGCAATGTTTACGGAATGCAAACTTTGAAATTGGAAATGGAAGAGCTTCCTGCAACCCGTCCAGGTCTTACTGGCAGTATCTGTTCCAGCAAAAAGGCAGACATCACTGCTGCATTTCTAATTTTTTAACGTTTCTTTTGTGTGTCCTTTATGAACACAGGAAGACTGCTCCATGGGTTGATCGAGCTCATTATGATATATCTCTATTTTTAAGCTTTGATCCCATTCTTGGACTTGATTACAGTCTTTTGATTGTACCTTGTTGCCTGAATTGGTTTTTCCTCCCAATTCTTTTTGGGTTTGGTTTGATCATTTTCCAAATGTGATCATTCATCTTGAGAGACAAGGAAATGAACATTCATTGAGCTGATTTATATGTATTTATAATAAATAAATAATAATAAAAAAGGACATTGTTCAACTTGGGTTCTGTCCTAAATCTCTCCCAAGGGCAGTTTGCCCACCCTAAGTAGACATGCCCTTTTGGAAATGGTGTAATTGGACTCAACGAATCTGGTATCTGGATTGTTGTGAGTTTTCCAGTCTGTATGGCCATGTTCCAGAAGCATTCTCTCCTGATGTTTCACCCACATCTATGGCAGGCACCCTCAGAGATTGTGAGATCTATTGCAAACTAGGTAATTGATGCTTATATATCTGTGGATATATAAGCATCACTTACCTAGGTTGCTGTGAGTTTTCCGGGCTGTATGGCTATGTTCCAGAAGCATATTCTCCTGACATTTTGTGCACATCTATGGCATCCTCTGAAGATGCCTGTCGTAGATGTGGGCAAAACGTCAAGGGTGAATGCTTCTGGCACATGGCCATACAGCCCGGAAAATTCATAGCAAGGTAGTGATTCCGACCATGAAAGCCTTTGACAACACATTGAATCTTGTATCCTAATCTCAAATCATTTGGGAACTGTCCAGGTACAATTATGACTTTCAAATCCCATTGATTTCCAATGGAGTTATTTTTACTGAAAATATTCAAAACATGTATGCATTTCAGTAAACAATACACATGGGACTTTGTAAGTGTTCCTGTCTGGATTGTATTCATGTTAAGCTTTCAATAAGGTGCACAGAATTACGAGAAAAGTGAGGAAAGTTTGTGTTTTAGAAAGAGAGAAGTTTATTGTGATTCATTGTGATTTATTTCTAAGACTTCCCTTTGAGGCAGAACTTGGATTTTAGTCAGCAGCCTAAATACAATTGGGTTGTTGTAGGTTTTCTTCAGGCTATATGGCCATGTTCTAGAAGCATTCTCTCCTGACGTTTCGCCTGCATCTATGGCAAGCGTCCTCAGAGGTAGTGAGGTGCATCCTCTGAGGATGCTTGCCATAGATGCAGATGAAACGTCAGGAGAGAATGCCTCTAGAACATGGCCATATAGCCCGAAAAAAACCTACAACAACCCAGTGATTCCGGCCATGAAAGCCTTCGACAATACACTAAATACAATTATTTACTCTCAACTAGAGTACATCAATTGAATCAGTGGGAACTTGGTAATTTAACACTCATTCAATTACATAATTCTATGGGTTTATTCTAGCTGGAGTTTGCTCAGTGTGTTTAGCACTGTTATGCTAAAATCCACGGAGTTTCATCCAATCCCAATTAATTGTGGAATGTAACCATTCGTACCCTGTGTGTTAGTTATCTTTAAAGTAAAACATCTTACTCAAAAGTCAGTGCTGATGATCTTAGTGTGACTTACTCCCATGTTAGTGGATGTTGGATAGTAGCCATGATATCCATGCTGTCCTTCAATCAAAAATACTAAATGTATGTAATATGTTTAATTTAATCTGTTGGAAATCAAAAGCGAATATGGGTCAGATATTCCCAGATATGACTATGTGTGATTTTCAGTGCTATTTCACAATTAACAGAGGGGACGATCCAAGTTTTCTTGCTTGTGTATTGTTTTAACTTGTCGGATTTACACAGTTGGACTGAAGGAGGGGCTGCTTTCACAATGCCATAGGTTACGAAGCATGGAATTCAGAAGGTACATAGTAACCAGGCCTTCTTTAACCACAGATATCCTATTCCAGATGGTGAGTACAGGCCCTTGCACCAACAAGGGCACAGATACAGGTGCAAAAAAACTTTTCCTCCCTTGCATGGAACAATCTAGGTCGAGTCTACTTTCATTGCAGAAGAGACATTTGCTTTCCGGTTCCTTACACTTGCAGTTTCTCCAGTCGAAAACCACGCTAGTGTGTGCAGCTTCCATGCAAAGAGTTCCAGTTGTGGTCCAGTCAAGAAGACAGATCTTTGGTAAGCAGACTCAATGTGAACTTTGTAAAACTTGGAAGTAAGTTCTGAATGTGGTGGTTTTTATTCCCAACTTTGCTGCCTTATTGCCAAGTTTGTGTAATTGTTTTGAGGCATTGATCTCATTACAAGTCAAAGCTGCCATTTGATTGTTTATTTCTTTAGTGCTAGCAGTATCCCATTAGTTAGTGCATGGGTCTTTAGGGCACATACTGACAATGTAAGAAATTAAAATAGAGTGATTAGAAGGGAGTCTCAAAGATGCAATAATATTCTAACTGGTTCATTTCTGCTTTTTTAAAAAATATATTTTTATTGAGCGTTTTTTACAGTGAGGGATTGAAAAGATAAAAAGAAAGAGATTAAAAGTAGGGGAAGAGAGGGGAGGGGGAAATTGAGGTATTTTTGGGAGAGGTGTGATTTAGATGAGGGAGGCGGAAAGGTGGATATAGGGAGGGGATGGGGGTGAGAAAAAAAGGGGGTGGAGGGAAAGGAAAAAGAAAGGTGTTGGCTTCCAGTCGTCTCCATCTTTGGCTTCAGAGTCTCTTGAGTTAATTTTCCTGGGAGGTGGCTAACCCATTTGCATCTAGTCCAGTTGTAATGTGCTATTGTTTTAAGTTGTCATTATTTTATTATCCATTTATAGTTTCTTTGAGTTAGGTAGTTCCTTACCGGGGACCAATCTGTTTTTATTATCTTCATCTTTTGATTTGCCCTCATCAACTGTGTTAATCTGTCCATATTCATAATATCTATTATCTTAAGTAGCCATTGTTTTTGTGTGGGGATCTCCTTGGTTCTCCAAAACCTCACATAACAGATTCTGGCCATGGTTATAAGGTAAATTAGAAGTTTTTCTTTATTATATTGTCGAAGGCTTTCATGGCTGGAATCACTAGGTTCTTGTGGGTTTTTTCGGGCTATAGGGCCATGTTCTAGAGGCATTTCTCCTGATGTTTTGCCTGCATCTATGGGAAGCATCCTCAGAGGTAGTGAGGTCACCTTCATTAGCATTTGAAGGCCTGGCTGAGCCTGGGAAAATCCCCTGTTGAGAGGTGTTAAGCTGTTTTCTTTATTAGTTTCCGAATCTTCCTCTAGAATTCCTAATAAGAAAAGTTCCGGCTTTGACTCAATCTTAACTTCGAGCATCTTTTCAATTGTATCATGAATATCTCTCCAGTAAGTTTTCTTGATTCTACAAGACCACAACATGAGGAAAAATGAGCCAGATTGCTCTTCGCATTCATTTCTGGTTCATTTCTGCATGAGCTTTTATGATCACAATATTCTACTACATTTGTGGATCTGAAGATTTAATATCCACAAAAGCGCATGTTAAAATAAACCAGTTGGTGTCAAAGGCAAACACTGCTAAATTCCTTCTTCCCATTACCTCCATTTTACATGTTAATGCTGTGACAGACTAACATGCCTCATCTCTTTGTTAATTACTATGATTATGATGGTATTTTTTAATAAGTATTGTTAGACAGTTAGCTTGATTTAACCGGAGGGTACGTTGGGTTGCATTGCAAGTTGAGGTTTTTGGACATCATTGCTTTGCCGTCATTAATATCGACCACATTGACATGTTATCAACTGATTTATTTTTAATTTATTTTTGTGTGTGTGGCAGCTAAGAGTTTTGTTTGGAAAGAATTTTTCCTGCTGTTTCCGATGCACTAATGTTAGAGTTGCTTCCTTTGATTTGCGTTTAAAACGAGCGAAACCTCACTATTCAGTGTCAGCGTAACCCCGGCAAATTGGTACAATGGACGCCTTAAGGGTTTGATCTGTCCAGGACTATTTATGTTAAAGACGGGGAGGGGTGACTATTTAAGGTTATTAAACCAATTTCCAGGACTGTCGCAAATGTTATGCTAATGTGAAAAGGACTTGCAGTGCCTCCAAACCTGCTTGTCTCTAGCATTTAATTTTAATTAATACACTTTCCTCCTTCCAGAATCCCCCTTTTTTTTCTCCCTACGTGTTTGCAAAAACAAGGGGGGGAAAGGATGTGATTAACCCTCATACAGAAAGACATATGGTTTCAAATTAGTTTCTTCTCATTTCCATTTTAATTTCTCGATTTCAGGGATGGGGGGATGGGGAGCTATTTCTATATATTCCCTCCTTTCCAAAAGCCACGCTGAAGTAACAACAGAGAAGGCTTGAACAGCAGCATGTAACAAAAAGAACAAAACCCAATAATCATTTTCAATATTGCAGGGGAGCTCGTTTCCCCAACCACAGTTTAATTTGGATATTAATCATGATATTCAGATAAACATTTATTAATTCTCCCTCAGAGCCATAGAACTGGAATTAACTGGGATTATTTAAATGCAGAATGCTTTAATTGTGTACTTCCAACTCTCCCTAAAAGCTGCAGAATTCCTTTTTTCCCCAAATGAGCTCACTTTTAAAAAGAAACCAGATTCCCCCCCCCCCCCCCCCGAATCCAGGGCTTCTGTTAATAACAATGGGATTTATAATTGCTCTCTTTTTAGATAATGACTGAAAAGCATGAATTCTCCTCCACTTGCCAGCTGATGAAAATCTGCAATATTGTTAAAAGAAGTAAGAGATGGCAACCTTCGCAGAGGTAAAAGGGGTGGGAAGGGTTACTGTTGCATTTGGAAACATTTGGGCTCATGGGTTACGCTTGTGTGGCGAAACAGAGTTGGTGGAATCTCTTTATTTACTATTTGAACATTGGTGTTTCTTTCATTTGTATTTTATTTATTTATTTATTTATTTCGAGCACTTCTACCCCGCCCTTGTCAACCCACAAGGGGGGACTCAGGGCGGCTTACAACCAGCACAATTCAATGCCAACAATTCAAAAGATAAATTACATAACAGCAATAACCACAATACTTAAAAACAATAAATTAAAACTGTAACAATTAAAAGCCAATCTAGTGGCCAACGTTCACCGAGTTCTGATATCCATAAGTCCATTCAGCATTACCATAGTCCATTCCAATTTCTGGTCGTCATTACCTTGTCAGTCTGCCAGATTACCCAAAGGCCTGGTCCCATATCCATGTTTTCAGCTTCCTTCTGAAGGAGAGGAGGGATGTTGATGACCTAATTTCCCCGGGGAGTGAATTCCACAGGCGAGGGGCCACCACCGAGAAGGCCCTGTCCCTCATCCCCACCAGCCTCACTTGTGATAGAGGCGGCTGAGAGCAGGGCCTCCCCCAAAGATCTTAAACTCCGAGGTGGGACATAGAAGGAGATACGTTCGGACAGGTATGTGGGCCGGAGCCGTATAGGGTTTTATAGGTCAAAACCAGCACTTTGAATTGTGCTCAGAACTGGATCGGCAGCCAGTGGAGCGGCCATAACAGAGGAGTGGTATGCTCCCTGTATGATGCTACGGTGATTAATCTAGCTGCTGCCCATTGGACTAACTGAAGTTTCCGAACAGTTTTCAAAGGCAACCCCACATAGAGCGCATTGTAGTAATCTATTCGAGATGTAACAAGAGCATGGACCACCGTGGCCAGATCAGACTTCCCAAGCAGCTTCCCTTAGCTGCTTCAACTTCGTAGAAGCAGCTAAGGGCCATGGATTGACCTTTATTTATTTATTTATTTATTTATTTAATATATTTATAACCCGCCTTTCTCAGTCTTATGGAGACTCAAGGCAGGTTACAGGTAGGCACAATTTGATGCCATACATCCATAAAAGTGCAATTAAAAACATCAGCATAACAATATAAAAACATATACAAAAACAATTAAAACATCTAATCATCAGTGTCATCTTGTTAAAAGTGTTTCCAGTAATATCATCTAGCCCATGGGTCCTTAAACCAAGGCCCGGGGGCCGAATACGGCCCTCCAAGGTCATTTACCCGACCCTCGCTCAGAGTCAACCTGTCTGAAATGACTTGAAAGCACACAACAACAACAACAATACCATCTCATTAGCCAAAAGCAGGCCCACACTTCCCATTGAAATACTTATAAGTTTATATTTGTTAAAATTGTTCTTCATTTTAATATTGTATTGTTTCTAAGTGTGTTTTTGCACTACAAATAAGATATGCGCAGTGTGCATAGGAATTCATTCATTTTTTTCCAAATTATAATCCGGCCCTCCAACAGTTTGAGGGACTGTGACCTGCAGGGCCGTAGCCAGAAAAAATTTTCAGGAGGGATTGAAAATTTCACTGGGGGGGCGGGATTGAAACTGCCCCCTAGCTCACGCTGAAGCAAAGAGCACAGGAGGGGGCAGAGCAGCCTTCAATAGCCTGCAGCTCTGCCCCTGTTAACCACCTCCACCAAGTCTGGCCTCCTTAATGACAGTATTCAACACCCCCCCCCCCCAAACTTGGTTGCTTCACTACATCGGCTATTGCTGCAAGTAATGACAGCGTGAATAAATTGTCAATATTTGCTGCAAATAGTGCTTGCAGTTCTGGAGGGACTTTTTTGCGTCTCATAGACTTAGCATGGGGATTTGGTTAACCAGTTAAAATTCATGAGTAAACCATTTTTTAACCTGAAAAATTTCGGGGGGAGGGGTTGAACCCCTAACCCCCCCCCCCCCCAGCTACAGGCCTGGTGACCTGGCCCTCTATTTAAAAAGTTTGAGGACCCCTGATCTAGCCATTCCATGTTCATCAATTCATTTTTCCATATTATTTATTCCACTGCATTCTCAAAAGCTTGCTCAAAGAGCCAAGTTTTTACCTTTTTTTTTCTTGGAAAGTCAGGAGGAAGGGGGATGATCTAATATCCCTGGGGAGTGAGTTCCATAGCCGGAGGGCCACCACTGAGAATATCTGTGGGTTTACTGCAATTGAGAAAAACAAGATTCAAAACCAATTTTTCCAGTTTCCCTTTATCTCTTTTAGTAGGAGCCATGGTGGCACAAAAGGTTAAACCCTTGTGCTGACTGAACTGCTGACCTGAGGGTTGGCAATTCAAATGCATAAGACAGAGTAAGCTCCCGTCTATCAGCTCCAGCTTCCCATGTGGGGCTATGAGAGAACCCTCCCACAGGATGGTAACACATCCGGGTGTCCCCTGGGCAATGTGTCTGTAAATGTCCAATTCTCTCACACCAGAAGCAACTTGCAGTTTCTCAAGTCACTTCTGACACAATAAAAAATCTCTTTTAGTAGACCAGAAGGTGTCCCTTACATCACACTAGCACAGGATTTTGAAGGGAGCAAGAGAGGTTCTCAGCAGGGAGAGAAAAAGAAATCACAAAAATGACCTCATTGCCTCCTTCCTTCCTTTGCTCCCCACCCAATGTATTCAGTGAGATGAGCATTGCATTCCTTTCCTTGAAATCAGTGAGATATATAGCACTGTTTTATGGTAGTCCTGCAGAGAACCTCATTGAGTTAAGCAGTCAATAAATCACTGCAGCTTTCAGTGTTGAGCTTTGTGGGCAGATTGTGTCCTGAATTTTCAGAAACGGACCAGTTTCCTGACTTAGATGCATCACTCATTTTCACCGTGAAGAATATCTTGGGGTTTCAACCCCATTCAGCAATTGTCAGGAAACACTTGGAGGGAAGAATAAGTGCATTAGAGAGATATCTACTCATTCATTCTTCTCTATATTTTGCCTTCCAAACTCTCTTATGCACAGATCCCCTCTTCCCACCTCCAGCCAGATTTTGAAGCCAAAACTCAAGCTCAAATCAAGTGGTAGAGATTTTTTGAGAGAGAATCAGAGGACTGAGAAATGAAGTGAGAACAATCTTTTTTCCCAATCTCCATTGCAACTCCTTGGCCCTCTTTAAGCTCATATGGGCAAGTTTAATTTTAAGGATATGCATTTGCCAAGGCTTCTTTTTCCATGTCAGGAGCGACTTGAGAGACTGCAAATTGCTTCTGATGTGAGATGATTAGCTGTCCACAAAGATGTTGCCTAGGGGAGGCCTGGATGTTTTACCATCTTGTGAGGGGCTTCTCTCATGAATGGAAAGCTAGAGCTGGCAGATGGGAACTCATCCTGCTCCACAGATTTGAACCTCCAAGCTTTTGGTCAGCATTCCTGCCGGCACAAGGGTTTAACCCATTGTCCCATCAAAGGCTGATTGTATTATACTCCACTTTGCAGTTATTTCATTCCTAAAGCTCTAGAATTGTCCTACTAAGCCTATAACCCATAATATCAAGGAAGGAAATCCCACATTCTCTGAGTGTGGACTCAGATAACCCAGTTCAAAGCAGATATTGTTGGATTTTCTGCCTTGATATTCTGAGATATAGGGCTGTGTGAAAGGGCCCTGGGTTATCTGAGTCCACATTGTCATATATTCCAGTTCAAAGCAGAAAATGTGGGGTTTTATTCAGCTGTCTGGAAGGGGCCATAGATTGTAATACTGTGCATGTGCATGTCTACTTAGAAGTAACCCTTATTGAATTCGGAGACACCTACTCTCAAGTAACTATGTATAGGATGTTTTGCAGTCTGCATCCTCATTGAGGGTTTTCAAATGGAAATATGGCAAGTCCCAAGTCTAATAAGGATAAAATTGGCAGAGAATCACTATATGGAAGTGTTAATGAAAAAATTGTTGTTTTCAAAATGAAATTACAGAAATGTTGAATGTTTGACCGTAGTAAGGAGGTTTTAGTACCATATTTGTGTGCTTATGTAAGTAAAGCAAGCATTTATATTGTAACATGATTCATGTATACAATGCTATTATTTAACTTATTAGGAAGATGAGGGTGCATCTCTATGTGTAATAACATGAACTTTAAGAATTTGGGGAACAATGCAAAAATTTGTGCATGCTTCAAAAATGTTTGTGTTTTCCTTATTTTGAAGTTATTGAAGGAAATATCACCAGTAAACCCTAGTAATCATATCTGAATGGCTATCAGTACTTGCAAATGCATCTGTTTTGGATATGCAGAAAACGTATATGAAAGACTCTTGAATGTTGCCAAATTTCACCATATACTCAGTTTTCATTTTGATAGGAATTACAAGGACAAACATAGCTGTATGGATATGGATAGACTTAAATGTAGAAGTAAAGGTTTTGGTAAAGTCTGACTCTGGGGGGTGGTACTCATCTCTATTTCTAACCCAAAGAGCCGGCATTGTCCGTAGACACCTCCTTGGTCATGTGGCCGGCATGACTCCATGGAGTGCTGTTATTTTCCTGTACAAGCAGTACCTATTGATCTACTCACTTTAGCATGTTTTTGAACTGCTAGGTGGGCAGAAACTGGGGCTAATAGTGGGAGCTCACCCCACTCCTCAGATTCGAACTGCTGACTTTTTGGTCAGCAAGTTTATTTATTTATTATTTATTTACATTATTTCTATCCCGCTATATGTGTGACTCAGGGCAGTATACATAGTCGGCACAATTCGATGCCGAAACAAAATAATACATTAATAAAGCAAAAACATTAAGTGCAAATTAAACATAAACGACAGTGCATAATAAACAGTTTTAAAAAGAACTATGTCCTCTCCTTCAAATCCTCATCCGTTACATTGGCTTGGCCGTTCCTGGGTCAATTTCCAACTCTAGTTTGTCTGTTTAGTTCAGCAGCTCAGTGGTTTGATCTGCTGCACCACTACTTAGGAAAAGTCTTGATACGAACCAAA